TTTGTTGTTTTGGAAAACTGTTTCTGAAAACATAAAACTAGAAAACGCGTTTACTTTGAAATTTTGAGAAATTTTTTTTATAATATTTTATTCAAGAAATCTGATTATTCAATAAATTTTAATAGTTTAATATTAATATAGTATTAAATAACATTTACATTTTGAAGTCGGTGAATGTTAAAATATTTTTTTCCAAATATAAAAAACACATCTCAAATTAAATTTGACAAAACAGTTCAATCGATACGATTAGAAGTTTACGTGTCATAACAAAACAAGTAGATACTAAATAAAATATAAAATAAATCAACGGAGTCATGCATGGACATTGTACTCCATTGTGCGTAAGCATAACAGCCTAATGTCCAAACAAAAGCATGTAGACCCTTACAATCTCAATCTATGATTAATTTCGAATAGTAACTGAAATTTTTCAAAATATCCAAAATGAAACACACCTTAGTGAAAGAGTCACCAAGAAGAAGACAGATAAAAATGAAGCAATAGTCTTGATGTGATGCAAAATGGTACAAGACAACAAAAACTCAGGTTTAACAACGAAACTGAACTAGTCGAATCCTCTTAGTTTGTCTTCGTTTTAGGGGCCTTTTTCTTTGGTGATCTCCTTCGCATTGAGTTCTTCATGCCAATGAAAAATAGCAGTGCCCAAGTAATGTCAAACTCTGGCTGAATTTGACAAATAGTAGGGAAAACTCTTTACGGTCAGCATCGTAGTTGTAGAAGTCATACAAGATGGGTGCTGCAATTAACTGGTGCAGGAGCTGTGCAGGAGGCAAGAGAGAAGAACTTCGTTACAAAGGTCCATTTAACAAAACAGTGAAGAAAGAACCTTTGACGTGATTTGAGAAAGAGATACTTTTAACTGAACAAAACAAACCTTAAACATACCAGGATGCCAGCTCCAAGCGAGCTTCCAAAGATGAACAACAGGCTTCCAAACCCCTTCATTATGATGGCAAAAGAAGCATAGATTATTAGTATATTAAGAGCAAGCAATTTAAACCACCAAATGACCTAACCTCCCCATCGGCACATGTCAATCTAAGTAAACATAAAACTATCCAACCACTAACTAAAATATGAAGGTACTAAAAATATTGGAGCAACCTTAGTGTCCTAAATATTGTTACTAAATGTATTGGCTTGTTCACATCGTAACTCCCATTTCCATGCTTGATT